CTATTCTATTCTATTCTATTCTATTCTATTCTATTCTATTCTATTCTACTATTCCATTTCTCATTCCAATTTTCTATTCTCTTCTCTTCTCTTCTCTTCTCTTCTCTTCTCTTCTCTTCTATTCTATTCTATTCTATTCTATTCTATTTCTATTCCATTTCTCATTCCAATATTCTATTCCATTCCATTCCATTCTATTCTATAGACTGTAACTTTGTCACTTGTCACAGTCTAGATATACGGTGTCCACAGCATTTCTATGGTCTACTAATTTAGTTTAGTTTACTGTCAGTGCACCCTGTGTAACGAAGTTAAATGCCATCTTCAGTGTACATTGTAACTCTAAAAATAAAACACAAACACACTTCCTTCGTATTCCATGCAATTGAATTGAAAACCCCTGATATCGCATTCATATTGCACTATACAGCAGAATTCAACAGAGCGACTGCCCTGGGATAGAAGCGTTTTTTCAGCCTATCTGTCCTTGTTTTTATTGTCCTGTACCATCTGCCAGATGGTAATAGTTCAAAAAAAGAGGTGCCAATGAAAAACAGAGTCCATATTATAGGTAGTCCTCGACTTACAACAGTTCATTTAGTGACTGTTCGAAGTTACCGCAGCACTGAAAAAGGCGACTTATGACCGTCTTCCACACTTATGACCGTTGCAGCATCCCCAGGGTCATGTGGTCAAAATTCAGCCTCCTGGCAAGCGGAGTCAATGGGGAAGCCAGATTCGCTTAACAAGGGTGTGACTAATTTAACAAATGCAGTGATTCACTTAACAAATGGGGCAAGAAAGGTCGTAAAATGGGACGGAATTCACTTAACAACGGTCTCACTTGGCAGCAGAAATTTTAGGCTCAATTGGGATCATAAGTGGAGGAAGCCTACCTGTATTGCCAATGAACGCACCACCGTTGTCACAGTTTATCTTGTGTTTTTATTTTTATTTTTCATGCGTGGGTTTCTTCTTCACTTCGAAATAGAAATTTTGGTACTCAATTTGGTCCTAACTTGAGGACAATCTGTACTGAAAACTGCATTGCTCAGTCGACCTATTTTCCGTCAACTTTCACTTTTCTTTGAGGGCAGAATAATAGCTGCTTTCTATGCTGCCCAATGACTGTCCTTTGATGTTTAAAATGTAGAAGACTTTAAAAAAAATAGAAATAGAGAAAAGGCATTAATAAAACCAAAGAAGCATTTAATATTTAAATATATTTGATTTATGGCGCACAGCTGTTTTTTTAAAAAAAAAACTATAGAAAGCACAGCCATCCTGATCACTCCAGTTCTTATAATCATGAAATTCAGATTAGGATGGAATCAACATGATTTAGAAGCTGGAGGCTAAAATGATGAACGGTAACAGGAAATGAGTATGTCTAAGCCTAAGAAAGCGTCACTAGGGGTGACATGATAGTAGTATTCCAATATTTGAGGGGCTGCCACAAAGAAGAGGGGCTTAACCTATTCTCCGAAGACGGCAGGACCTGTTCTCCGAAGGACAAGAAGCAATGGATGGAAACTAATCAAGAAGAGAACTAAGGAGAAATTTCCCAACAGTGAGGACAATTAACCAGTGGAAAGTTGTGGGTGCTCCATCACGGAAGGTTTTCAAGAAGAGAGTGGACAATCATTTGTCCGTAATGCTATAGGGTCTCCTGTTTGGGCAATGGGTTGGACTAGAAGACCTCCAAGGTGCCTCTCAACTCTGTTATTCTGAAATATTGTCCCCAGCTCTTCCTTCTTCAAACTGAGTGATGTTGACGAGTCCAAAAAGGGTATGAATATTTGCTTGCTCTTAGGCAATACATGAATTGATGCTGATGAGGATACGGCCTCAGTGTGAATTGAATCTGTGCACATTTTTTAAAATAAAAAATGCCGTTAGTTAGTTTCGTTTATTGATTAGCCGATAGGCCCTATCCAAATACAGAATTCCAAGTACAAATTATATAACAAAATCCTATAAAAACCATTTAAAATGCAGTAATTTGATATATAGATAAACAAAGTAAGATAAAATTACATATTTCAGTATCACCCCTACGCTTACCCCAATCGGTCCCACATATGCTGATCTCAGCCGAACTATTTTATTTAAGTACTGCGCCGTATTTAATGTTGTTTTCAAATTCTGGATGCACATAAGGTATGTTTTTTTCAGGAGGCTGTGAGTTCAATCCTAGGTATTTCTCTCTCTAGGCACACTGAGTATATATATCTACTGAACAAAACTCTGCAGTGGTGAGAGGAAAGGCATCCGGCCATTAAAACACTCTGCTAGCTCCACTCAGATTGTGGGATTGTTAAATGAAGATGATGATAAGGTATGATGTTTTAATATGGGGATCCCGATGGGTCATTCATTTAATATATGTGTCAGATCCGTGTATCTGTCATTTCTTCAGCGGAAGAAGAAAAAGGGGGCGGGGGGAGAAGACTGATAAAGAAATCCTTTCTTGATCTAATCTGAATATATTTAATCTTACATCGAATTTGTATAACCCACACATGACACAATGGAGGGAGAAAAGCCAGATGGCCGGAACCTATCACCTCTGAGAGGCACAACCAGGAGATGAGAAGATCATAAAAATTCCACAGTGAGATGTGTCCTGGGAATCTCTGGAAAAGTTCATTCTAAAAAGAGGGTGGGGGGAAATTAGGTATGCCCTGGGAAACTGTGAAAAAGATCGTTTCTGCAGAAGGGGTGGGGTGGGGAATTAACATACTGGCTTTTGTTTCACTAAATACACATCGAGATAAGGGGAGGGGTTCTAAACTCCCTTATCTACCCCTGTATGCCTGAGGGACCTTAGACGCTGCTTTGAACTCCTACAAGAATTGTCTCATCTCAATAAAGGATTCCTTTTGATACGTTTGGTTTTCAGAAGTTCATTCTTGTTGATTGAATGGGGAAAAGTTCTGTAGCCTGACAATACGAGCCAAGGCACCTGCCTCTCACCCTCTTATACAAATAACAATCCAATAGTATGTAAGCCAAGTCTTCTACGTCTGCCTCTATGAAAAATGATGCACTTCCAAGCAAGGAGAATCCCTGCAAATTAACCTAGTCAATGCCATGATGGTGTTGACTAAATTTGGCTGACAACCCATTCCCTACAATGAAGAGCTGAATCTCAGCGTATAACCACTGAAAGACTTTGCATAGAGACTCCATTTAATGCCTTCCAGGAAGCCTTGTCACAAATAATTCATCTCCACCACTCCTCAGAGTGTCATCTTGAATCAGGCACTATCTATTGCCTGGAAATAGCCAGCTTAATTCAGGTCACACCAAGAGCTCCCGTCAGAGGTGTGGGCGCGCATGTGCCTGCCTGCCTGCACCAACACACACATGATTTTTTAAGCGTGACAACACTCCGTTTCCTATTCCAAAGGCTTCTTCAAACACTGAGAGAGCAGCAGTGAACCTACAACTGGAACTGGAGAAGGAAGAACAAGCCATTTCCTGCAGCTGCCCAGATGTGCACAATTTAGCAACCAAGCTTGTTCCGTGCATTAGTCATATCCAGATTTAGTGTCTAATCTAGAACCTATCCAACCTAGACCCCAACCTAATCCAACCTAGAACTAAGGAGAAATATTCCTGACAGTGAGAAGAACGGAGTTGGAAGGGATCTTGGAGGTCTTCTAGTCCAAACTCCTGCCGAAGCAGGAAACCCTATAGCATTCCAGACAAACGGTTGTCCAATCTCTTCTTAAAAACCTCCAGTGTTGGAACAGTTGTCTCCTGGAATTGTGGATGCACCATCAGTGGAGGTTTTCAAGATTGGACAACCATTTGTCTGCAATGATATATAGATTTGTTCAAACAGTGGGTTGGACTAGAAGACCTCCAAGGCCCAACCTTATGATTCTGTATTCTATGCTCTTGAATCTTAAGGAGGAATTTCCTGACAGTGAGAGCAATCAACCCATGGAACAGAAGTTGCCAGAAGAGACTAGACTGCCACTAGACTGCCATGTGTCAGAAATGGTGTAGGGTCTCCTGCTTGGGCAGGGGGTTGGACTAGATGACCTATACAAGGTCCCTTCCAACTCTGTTAATCTAATCAAAAAACAAGATGATTAGGGGACTGGAGGCTAAAACATACGATGAACAGTTGCAGGAACTGGGCATGGGTAGTCTAGTGAAGAGAAGGACCAGGGGAGACATGATAGCATCTTCCAATATTTGAGGGGCTGCCACAAAGAAGAGGGGGTCAAGCTATTTTCCAAAGCCCCCAAAGGCCAGACAAGGAATAATGAATGGAAACTGAACAAGGAGAGATTCAACCTGGAAATAAGGAGGAATTTTCTGACAGGGAGAACAATCAACCAATGGAACAGAAGTTGCCCTTGAAAGTTGTGGCAGCTTCATCACTGGAGGCTTTCAAGAAGAGACTGGACTGCCCCTCTGTCAGAAATAGTATAGGGTCTCCCGCTTGGGCGAGCGGTTGGACTAGATGACCTACAAGGTCCCTTCCAACTCTGTAAATCTGTTAATCTTCCCAGCTGTTGTTAGAATCAGCTGGAAGGGGAGCAGATGAAAAGATGTAAAGCCAAGAAAGGAAGGAATCAGGGCCAGCTGCTGTTCCTGTCCCTTGCCCTTCCCAAAATAGAGGCAGTCCTTGACTTACAACAGTTTGTTTACTGACCATTCGAACTTACAACACGCTGAAAAAAGTGACTTAGGACCGTTTTTCACAGTCCCGACCTTTGCAGCCTCCCCATGGTCACGCGATCCAAAATTCACAGGCTTGGCAACTGGTTCTTATTTATGAGGGTCGCAGTGTCCTGGGGGGGGGGGTGTCACGGGGTCTCCCTTTTGGGACCTTCTGACGCGCCAAGTCAACAAGGGAAGCCAGCGTTCCTTAACAACCACGTGACCAACTTCATCACTTCATCAGATTCGCTTAACGAACATGGCCGGAAAGGTCACAAAAAATGGGCTGAGGCTCCCTTAACCAGGGTCTTCCTTAGCAAACAGGAGAAAAAAAAAATTGGTCTCAAATCGGGGCCATAAGCCGAGGACTGCCTTGTTGAGGGGTGGGCTTATTATTCCTCTGGCAGCTTCTCTTCCGGGCATTGCAAAGCAGAAGGCTTTGCAAAGGAGCACCGAGCAATCAGAGGCAGCGCACTGCAAAGCATGCACTGACCCAGGGGGAGGGGATTCTTGTGTGGGGAAGGGGGGGGGGGTTGTCACTCCTTCCCTGTGTCTGTTGGGGGAAAAGCCCCCCCCCTTTTTTCTCCAATCAGGGAAGCATCTTCCCTCCAATGAATCCTTTGATTTTTTTAAAAAATATTTTTTTTGCCTGCACGGACTCTCTCTCCTGTTTACAGGAAGCGCTTCCCTCCCTCCATGCTGCCTCCGTTGCCAAAGGAGGAAGTGGGCGCCTCCCCCTAATACTACGAACCCGCAGCATTGCGGTGTGTGGGTGCAGATTTTGGACCTGGGCAAGAAAAGCCCTTTGGCCGTCTGTCGGTCTCTCTGTCTAGCCAGCCAGCCCCCTTCCTTCTGGGCAGGCCAGGACGGGCGAGAGGCCGGCCTTTGCAAAAGGAACCAGAGGAATGGCACAGAGGGTGGTGCTAGATGACTGGCATGTTATTCCCAGGCAAAAGGAGTAAACAAGCTCCCTCTCGCTGG